GAGGGTCTGGAGTCTCTGTTCAAACAGGTTCAAGCGAGGCGACAAACCCATGGACCCATGTCCTGTGCCTGTCCCCAGGGTGTTCCGGCACTTTCTGCCTCGGAGCAGGGCTGAGAAGAGTGGGGGCCTCAGGGGCCAGGAGGAGCATAAGTTTAGGTTCCACAGTGGACACCACGGTGCCCACGCAGCCCCCACGCCAACTAGCCTTCCTGTCCCGGTGCCAGCCCCGCCATGACCTGTGCCTGGACGTAGCGTGGGCCAGCGCCTCCTGTACACAGACACCTGCAGGAGCCATGCAGGCATTTCCAGGAGACGGGACTTACCTGCACCTCCCGAGGGCCCCAGCCAGGAAGGGGACGTGGTGGGGGCTGCGTCCGACCCACGTCTGTGTTCTCGAGGCCTCCCACCCCCAACACCACGTGTCTGTCCCTTTCTGGCCCCCTCTGCCTCCTGCCTGCCGTCCATCTAGGCTGCCTTCACAGCGCCCCTCCCCGGATTCTCTTCCAGGAGCTTTCAGAGCTCAGAGATCGAGGGACGTGTCCAGAGTCTCCTGGTCTGCAGCGGGCGGGCCCAGGTCCAGATGGCTGGCTGCCTGTCCCAACGCCCCTGTTTGGCTTTCTGACCAGCCGGGGGAGGGCCGTGGCCGTGGGGGCCTTTGGCCACATTCCCAGTGTGCACGAATGTGTGGGGACAGGCCAGAGAACGGGCTGTCCAGTGGGGGCTGGAGACGGCAGAGCAGTGAGGGATATAAAGGGAGTGGGCCGTGGCCAAGGTGCCCACCAGAGAGGATGGCACCGCTGCTCCTGCTGAGCCTGGCGCTAGCCCTCTCTGCGGCCCAGGAGTTCAATCCCCGCGTGGTCGTGCAGAGGAACTACGACATGGCCAGGGTGGGGCTGGGCCCAGGACCTTCTGGGAGGCCGGGGGGACGGGCCTCAGGGCACCGGTGCTCCCTCAACCTGTGACAAGGGCAGTGCTCCCCGGGAAACCCACCTCTCCTGTCCGAGCTGTGACAGCAGCCAGAGAGGGCAGGAGGAGGCCGGGAGGACAGAGGGGGACAGGGTCCAGCCCCAGCAGGGAGGCCTGAGCCCCGAGCAGCCAGGGCCNGGGCCCCAGAGGCGGAGACACTGGCCAGAGCCAGCCCTGACCAGAATGGGGACGCCAGCCCGTAGCGGATGCTCTACTAAAAAAAGCCTTCGATCAGTACATAAACTGTATCTGGTATCTAAAATAGGATTCAGTTTCCCGTGTCCTGGAAAGTCCAAAGCCCTCACCTCCGGCTCAGCCCCAGGAGCACCCAGGGGACCCAGGAAGGCCAAGGTTAACCCTCTTCAAGGGAGAGGACCTGGGACCCATACAGGGGAGGGGGCCTGGACCACGTGGGGTCCCCAAGAGGGTCTGGAGTCTCTGTTCAAACAGGTTCAAGCGAGGCGACAAACCCATGGACCCATGTTCTGTGCCTGTCCCCAGGGTGTTCCGGCACTTTCTGCTTCAGAGCAGGGCTGAGAAGAGTGGGGGCCTCAGGGGCCAGGAGGAGCATAAGTTTAGGTTCCAC